TGCCACGGTCCCGTTCCTCTTAGTGGACGTTTCTTCCTGGTGCGGCGGAGTTGAGTTGTGAAAGTTACAGGAATCGTTTGCTTTAAGTGCTTTGTTGTCCGGATGGAAACCGTGGAAATGTTGTGTGTGGGAACATGTTTGTTATGTTTTGAGCAAGAGTGGCCACAGATGTGAGAGTTGCCTTGAAATAGCAGGTCTTGCATTGGCTCTGGATAAGCTCTGTCTCATTCTGGTTATGTTGCTATTTGATTTTCTTTTTAAAGAAAGCCTGCAAGAAGGAAAGCTGTGCATGCACACCTTGGAAACACAACAGCTGTCCTTCTGCATTAGGCTGTTAACTACATATGGGTGAGGAGATAGGTGATGTCCTTTCTCTTCCTTTTGTAGTGTTGTGGAGGGTTTGGTTTGTTTGGGGTTTTTTTGTGTATGTGTGTGTAGAAGAGATGGGACGATGTCAGGGTTTTGGTGGCTGAAAGTTGTCTGCCATCCGCTGATCAAAAAGAGATGAATGCTGTTTCTGGATTCAGAGATACCTTTCTGTCAGTATTTACCCTTTCATAGCTGAGGCTGGACATGAGCAGCAGAATCTACTGTGTCTCCTTGCTACGTGGCAGGATCAAGTAGGCCAAAACCTGTTCCCAGCTAGTGTTTGTCTAACCTCATGCGTTAGAGATTAACTAAGTAGATAGCGGAATCTGTCCCAGTACTACCAGGAGTTTTCTGTGGGAGCATGCTACCACGTCCTTAAAGCTTCCAAGTGTGTTTTGCTTGATTTTACTCCCCAAACCAAGGTATCCAGTTACTATAAACACCTTTTCCAATTCCCTGTTTTCAACAAGAGTATGCTTGCAGTAATGAATGTGATTGTTCTCAAGTTCAAGAGGTCCTTGAATCAATAGACTTCCTGTTTCTCTCCAGGAGCCAGTGGTGCTGACAGATACAAATCTGGTTTATCCTGCTCTGAAGTGGGACCTGGACTACCTCCAGGAAAACATTGGCAATGGGGACTTCTCAGTGTATAGTGCCAGCACACACAAGTTCTTGTACTATGATGAGAAGAAGATGGCCAATTTTAAGAACTTCAAGCCTAAGTCAAGCAGGGAAGAGATGAAGTTTGCTGAGTTTGTGGATAGACTCAAAGAAATTCAACAAAAAGGAAGTGCTGAGAGGTAAGTGATATGTGGAGGTTTTTCTGTTTCTGCAGGTCTTCTGGCAGAGTATGGTATCTGATGAAAAGGTACAGGCTATGGCACTCAGCCTGTTTTACAGAATACCAAGGCAGCTGGTGCTAACCCTCTTTCAGAAAGATGGGAAGGGTTGCACATATGCTGTGTGTTTGGTGGTGGTGGTGATGGCCTGCACCAATAACAGCTGTAAGTTAATGAGAGGAGCTTCACATTTTTACAGAATATAACTATTGACAACTGTACTTAAACCCTCAGTGAACTTTTATCAGCCATGAGCCCTTTAGAGGGGCTTAGTGATACTTAATTGGAAGCAACTCAGTGCCTGTGTCCACTTGTCTTCTGTGTCTTTCTCTTCTTTCTCAGCTTTGGGTGTGCTTTTTCCAAAAGAATAGGCAGTCCTTGAGCTTAAAAATGCATTTCTCTTCCAGCATTGCAGACAGTCTGTAATACTGCGGTTGCTAATCGAAATGTTTGATTCCGCTGATTCTCTATGTCTAAATAAAACCATGATTTTAAAGTAACTCGATACTGAAATGTGCTGGGTTTCCTGAGCCCTTTTTTGCCCTCACACATTTCTGGTAGAAGGGGTAACTCTTATCACAGGTGATTTAAAGTGGTAGCATTTATCTGGGGGGTTTTCATGAGTGTGTTTGGTATTTGAGAGTGGCCAGTCTGTTTACAGTTTCCTCCTCTGGCACTCTGAGAGGTTGTTCTTGCTCTAAAATGACCTTTTCCCCTTGTGATCATTCAAGCAGAACTGAGTTCTGGTCACTTCTGTACCAGGAAGTCTTTCAGCAAAGTTTGTGGACTTTTTGAAACTCTTTCCTTCCGCAGGTGTTTATGGTATGTGGTGATAGAACAGAATCTTGAGAAGTTATGTCTCTTTGTTTTGAGATCTGTCTAAAGAGTTGCAGAGATACATCTTCATGTTCATTACAAAGCTTGATACTTGATTTCTGCTTATCTCTGGGAAAATACAGGCTATATCTGCAGCAAACCCTCAATGACACAGTTGGAAGGAAGATTGTGGTGGATTTCCTTGGTTTCAACTGGAATTGGATTAACAAGCAGCAAGGGAAACGTGGCTGGGGTCAACTGACTTCTAACTTGCTTCTTATTGGCATGGAAGGTAAGCATTTTCCTCTGGCCTGGGGAGAAGATTTGGTCAGCAGTTCTATATTTCTGTTCCAGAAAGTCTTTCAGATGGAATTTCCATTAATTTATAAGTGTTCCTTCAGAACAGACAGTTTAAATCTTTGGGTTGGGAGTGGACTGATGTCACAACTTAACTTGGATTACAGAGTGGAAACAACCAAAGAAATAGCCTGAATTTCCCCAGGGGTATACTGTGAATGCATGGATTCAGTCTGCTCATGGAAAAGCCCTGTGTGATGCTGGTAAAGCTGTGGTTTTCGTAATTGCTGATCATATTCTGAGACCTGTTTATTGTGTGAATGCCTCAGATGCTGTACATGGAAAATGCTCAGAGTCTACAGATTTAAAATGCAAAAGGGTTTGCAAGTTGGGCAGAGTTAGTCTTCTGGGCTTTTTCTTAGCATGTCTAATGTCTACTCAGGAGGAAATGTTGATTATTCTGTGAACCATTTGTTCTTATTTGAGCTGGTACACTGTGGGGAGGAATTCTCTTTCAGTTAAGAGCTGAGTTTCCTCTAAGAAGGTTAGAGGGCACTGGGGAGCTGGAAGTTGGAGTTCTAAATCCATGTGAAGACTGACTCGTAGGCAGGTGCCTTAGAATTCAGAGGTACCACTACACTGTTGTCAAGAGCATTCAAGTAGAAAGCAATCTCAGTAACTGGGTAAGGGGTGTACAGTTTTGTGAAGTGGGATGACCTATAATCACATGGCCGTTGCATCCAGCTACAGTATTCCAGTTGTAGTTACTTAGCCATTCTTGACTGTTCAGTTCTCACAGCAGATGTTTTTTCCCCTTTGCAACAAGTCATTTTCAGCTTATGGTAGTTTCTTTGCCACTTCTTTTACTAACTGAGAGAAAAGAATGTAAAAGTGCTGCACCAACACTTTCCTAAAGGTCATAACGTGATTACTAAAATCCTGTTATCAACAGCTTGTGCACAAGAACAAAGGGATCTTGAACCAGTGTATGCTAGAAGAAGGAGCATCTTTACATGAGCATGCGATTGTATGATCTATTTAGGGAAGTTATGGTGATAAATGTTATCTTAATTCTCTTCAGTGAAAGTGCATATGAAGAGCAAGCTCAAAGAATATCCGAATTGGCAAACATCCTGAAAAATGTAGTTGTGAAGGGTACAAAATGCACCACTGTATTTAGAGGTTTGATTGAATTCAAGATCTATTAGTGACAGCCAAGCTTCGGAACTGCTACTCATACTGAGGAGTTGCTCCTATTGGGAGCTCAGTGACAAAGAAATTTCTTTACTTTTTTTCTTGCAAAACTGCTGTGGCTTTTTCCAAAATTGGGCTATGGACTCCTTTTCTCTAGACTAATAATTTTTGAAAGTCCGTTCCACAACTAGTCATCTAAACAGTGTTTTATGAAAAAGTTTCCAGTCAACATTCACCATCTGCTGTTCATGGTAACAAGCTGGAAATCCCAATCCTGTAGAGCATAAGTTGCTGAATATGGATTTAGAATGGAAATTAAGTGGAGTAGCAACTGCTCAATAAAGGCTGACTGATACAGTGATCAGTTTGAAATGTTCCTGTGGTCATTTTCCTTGTTTAGTTTTCAGAATACGTGGAAGTGTATTTGCTGTCTTTAGCAAGGAATATAACTCGCTTCCATCTTTCATACCTGTACATTGAGTGCCTTGATTATCATCTTTTCTCTATAGGGAATGTGACACCAGCTCACTATGATGAGCAGCAGAACTTCTTTGCTCAGATTAAGGGTTATAAGAGGTGTATCCTGTTCCCTCCTGATCAGTTTGAATGCCTCTACCCTTATCCTGTGCACCATCCCTGCGACAGACAGAGCCAGGTGAGAGTAGCAGATCTGTTCTCTGCTCCATGCCAAAAAAAGGCCATTTGTGAAGATACTGGGTGGGAGGAAACCACACTGGAATTGAAGCCACGTACCGCTGGCTGAACTTTTTCAAAATGCATGTTCAGATCTGTTAACGGGTGAATACACTGAGGATAGTTCTAGTGGTGTTTCTGTATATGTCTGGTTCTGACTTGCAAGTGCTAGGGCTGTAAACATCTTGTACTGACAGGACAACTGGACTGCAGTTACTACCTTCCTTCTTCTGTTTCATTGATCGCTTGGTCAAACAGATATGCTCAGACAAATTGCAGGACTCCTGTCTAATTTGGTGGTACTTTGGGGAGTGGAGTTCAGACATGAACGGGAACGTAAAAGCAATAAGGGAAGATCAGGATGATTTAATACTGAGAGCCAATAATGAGGACTGTCATTGCAGGAAGTTCTCCTGAGTTTCTTAATGTTTTCTTCTGTTAGGTGGACTTTGACAATCCCGACTATGAGAAATTCCCAAACTTCCGGAGCGTGGTTGGCTATGAGACGGTGGTGGGTCCAGGGGATGTGCTATACATACCTATGTACTGGTAAGAAGGATAGTGGGACACAGTGACCAGAAAACAGAGGTTTAAAATGTCTTCTGCTTAAGAGTGTTGGGTTGGCTCTTAGAGAATTTTGATTTCTTCAGTAAGTATGATTACAGTTGGGCCAATCTGTTTCTGCTTCCTGTCTGTCAGATGGAAGTGGTGATTCTTCCTGACACCATGTTATTGTGCAAATACTCCACTAACATGTACAAGAAGAGGATCTGTATTTTCATAAGGAGAGCTTTCCAGAAGTTCCAAGGTCTTGATAGGGCAAGGCTTGTCTAGTGCTGTCTGAACTCATCCATCCAAGGTATTTCACTCTAAGCTACAGCAATAGTTTCTTTTCCTTTCTGTGTGGTTTCCATGCAGGTGGCACCACATTGAGTCTCTCCTGAATGGCGGGATTACCATCACTGTGAACTTCTGGTACAAGGTGAGTACAAGCACCGTCCTGCGCAGCCTGGATAGCTCTGTCCCAGGGGATTTTTTCAGGTAGATATGTACTGGCACATGTTGTCAATGTGAGAACTTAATTGTACCAAATCCTTTGCTTTAAAGCTGAAAGCTACTTTGTTCCTTTTGAGTGTTATGTGAAGAACTGGGTGGCTGGGAGAAGGTGGAATAATCTTCCAATTCAGGAAGCTGCAATGAGCTATTTTTGCTATTTCAGGGTGCCCCAACCCCGAAGAGAATTGAGTATCCTTTAAAGGCTCATCAGAAAGTGGCGATAATGAGGAACATTGAGAAGATGTTGGGAGAAGCCTTAGGAAATCCACAAGAGGTACCAAAAAAAAAACCCCATACAGTCACTGCTGTTGAAATCATTATGGCTTATTGCAGAACTCGAGATGCCAATTATTTGGCTCTGCAGGTGTCACAGTGAGGGTAGGAGAAAGCAGGGTTGCTCTGTTGCTGTGAATGGTTCTTCCTGCTGTCTTCAGAAGGTCCTTTGGCTGCAAAAAGGCAAGCTCTTTAAATTATAATTCTGGAGAGGACCTCTACAATGGAGTAACTGTTCTTGTATGTGGGGGAAGGTGTACTTTGGCTTTGGGTCCTGCCAGCGAAGTGTTGCTCCCAAATGCTGCTTAGCCTTCTGTGCAACAACAATGCCCAGAGTTTGCCAAAACTGTTTTACCTGTTGAATCCAAATCTCTTTAAATAAGAGAAATCTCTTCTGTTAAGCCATGTGCTTCAGTTATCTCTGAATTCTTTGCAACTTTAACCAGATGGTATTTCAGAAAAACAGATTGAAGTTCTAAGAGTATGCTTTTGAAGATCTCCTGCTCATCTGAAAGTGGAAATTCTGGATGTGAATAGAAATGTTTTCACGGTCTGTAACCCTTACCACTGTTCAGGAACTCCTCTTTGGTGCACGCATCGTGCCTCTCCCCTGAGATTATCTTACTGCCATAGCATGCTGAACTTACCTCAGTGATCAGGCAATGCTGAGAAATGGGAGTGGTCTTGACTGAAAACAAAACCTTAGCAAAATCGTCAGCCCTAGCCTTCCTTCCAAGTGACCCCAAGGACCAGAGAGGATTCAGTGAGTAAGAATGTTCCTTCTCTGCCCTGCAAAAAGCAACCCCTGATGACTACTGGCTCCTTTTAATAGCATCTACTGAGAAATCACAAATCTAGGGTGGGAAGTGAAAAAGTTTCAAATACTGGTGATGCAATGTTTCTGTGACAAAGTTGGGTGTTGGCAGAGAACCCTGCAGTTTTGGTAGGGTATTTGTGGGTGTGCTCAGGGGTGTCCCAGTGTTTTTTGCAGAAGATACTTCAAAACTGATTGGTGTACCTTAGGTTCAGTTTGTGCATTGATATCCTCTGCCCTGGGCTGCTCAGCTCATAAGGTGATGTGATGCAGAGGGAGCCAGCTCTGCAGCTGCTGTTGCAGTGTGTCTGTCCCAGCTAATGATCTGTTTTTGCTTTGAACAGGTGGGTCCCTTGTTGAATATGATGATTAAGGGACGGTATGACTAATGCCTGGCTGCCCGGGTGACTGATGTTGGAGCTGCTTTGTTCACAAGCAATGGAAGATACTGAGCGCTAGTATTGCACGCAGCACTTAACAGACTGATGGGTTTCCTGACCTGTCCCTGCCCCAGTACAATAAAGGGGGCTACTGGAACTGCAAAACCATTAGTACCCCATTCATCCTCCATTCTCATTTAACGGAACTTCCCAAGAAAGAGTCTGCACTTACTGGAAGCTGGATTCATGCTCAGTAACTCTTTTTTTCTCCCTCTGCCCTGTTTGCCACAACAAGGAGCATGATTTCTGGCATTTGGATGTGTTACTTCAGGATTTTCAGGCATTTGAAGAAGAGCTTGGAGGGGAACCAGGCGTGATCTTGTTTCCTCAGCCTCATGGGGTTTGGACCTCCTGGCTGGGTTTATGTGTTGGTGCCTGCGGTGGATATAAGATGGGAATTTATAGGTTTAAAGGTCCTCTGTTGTTAGAGGACCTGTCCATGCTCAACTCTGGCACCTTTTCGTAAAATGGAAACAAACGAGATAGCCTCTGTGTGATGATCACCTGGGCAAATGATTAGATTTCAACTTAAGACATCCATGCTTTGGACTTAGTACAGGGTAGAGATCAGATTGAATTCATCTAGTGTATGAGCACCAAATCCTATGCTCTCCAAATAACATGTGTTGTAGGAGTCTAGATAAACCTCCTTTCCAACAGCTTTCTCTGGGGAGTGAAGGCTTCTTTCCCATTCTTCTGAAGCAGCAGTGTGGTTGAAGGGGGATATAGCATTATGAAGAGGGATGCATTAATGCAGGGCACTCTCCAAGTCTTGAATGATTAAGCCACATTTTCAAATTAAATTCCCACGGGTGCCAAGCTAAACTGTCAAAATGCAGCATCAGATAGGTACAGAGCCTCCCTTCTCTCCCCACCAGGGGTGCTGGCTCCTTGGAGTAACATGGGAAAGTGCCCTTTTTACTGAAACTGCAAGAACTCAAGTGTGTGTGGCTGCACACAGGTGCGCGTGTTTGTGTGATGTTGTGTGGCTCCTGTCCATCAGTTAATTCCCTGCCAGTGTGTGGTTCCCTTCCTGGTATAGTCATGTGGAAGAGGTCAGGGCTTTCTGTTTCAATGTGGTTAAGTTTATCTTGATCCTTTTTGTGTTTCGGGACTTGACGTGGCAGGTTGGGAAGTGGCAAGACCAAGGCACAAGAATGAGACGAGCCCTGTTTAAGAGTCCTCAGCAATGACCCTCAAAAATGATTTTGCTTTTCTCCTCCTCTTCCAGGCAAAAGCCTTAAACTCATATGGAGGCTGGCTTTTTATTCCCTGAGGTGTGCTGCACTGCTGTCCCTGGTTTAGGGGGTGGTGCAAAGGTCTTGTATGTTCGATGCCGTTGTAATGGGTCCGAAGAGCTAGAGGTGGAAGAAGTTGTTTCATAGCCTGTATATCTCATCGAGGGAATAGCAGGGAATTTGTTCTGTTGAGACTTCCCAGCATTTCCCCTGTTGTTCTCTGGGGCTTGTTTATACATTATTCTGATAAAAGCATTGAGAATATGGCACTCAAGGAGTGTTCCGTCTTTGGCCTCACGTCCCATCCTTTGGTGGAACAGCTCATGCACCATTTGCAGGGAGCTTGTCTTGCACAAAGGTGAAAGGCTTCTCAAACAGGAGGTCCCACTGGCTAGTTTTCTGGCTGCTTTACAGGTCAGAACAAATGAAGTGTAATTGGCAGCTGCAGGGTCCTTGTTTAAGAAATATGTCTGTGTCACTGAGTAGTCTGACTGCCATGTTATTTGTTGCAGACTCTCCAGAGCTGTGGTTAGACCCAGACGAAGGTCACTCAGCTGGATGCTTATCAATGTTCAGCCTTTGGGCAGGTGGGGAAGAAGGCTAAGCTGCTGACTCTTGCCAAAAGCAAGGCCTTCCCAGGAATCCTGGGCACATGCCCTTGGCTAAAAGATGCTCAAATGAAATCCCATCTCTGTGCTATTAACACACAGTAGACTCCAGTACTACTTGTTAGACACCATCAACTCTTGAAGCTCAGGATGGGAGTTCATATCCCATGTGGAGAGAGAATGGTACTTTAGGATCCTTTTTTTTTTTTTTTCTTTATTTGCCAAAGGTTTAACTTTTAAAGTGAACAGGTTTTGCTGCACTTGACTTCGTGAAAGCTCATTTACAATGCACTGATGGACTGACTCCCCACCCCTTCCCTTTTCACCTTCTGCTTTCAATGCCCCTTGCCATGGTATTGGGAAGCTGTGTGTGTTCTCTGCTAGGGGTGTGTGTGCAGAGGGTGGGGTGTGACAAACACACGGTACCTTGTGAAGTGTAGTTCTTAAATACAACCAATGTTGAACAACAAACTGTGGCTTTTATTTTGTGAGTGGCTGTATAGGGGAGCTATATAAGAGATGTGTGTGTATAAAGCTACCTTTCAGTAGTTTCTAGTAACTCCACTGCTGTTCTTCACTGGTGAAAGCTGCTGGGCTCAAGCTGTGCCTTCAAAACAGCAATACCAATTGCATTATCATGTGTCTTCACAACTTTCCCCATACTATTTCTCCAAGCCTGAACCCAAAGCTGGGAATAAGATGGTATCTTTGAACCCTGTCAACAAGCAATTTGTGAGAAGGAAACACATTTCCCTCCCTGCTGACTTGAATGGTGACACCATGCTCTGGTCACTGACAGAATGATGGAGCAAACTACACAATCCTGTCTAATGTATTCTATCAGTTGCTTATCCTTTGGGATATCTTGTCCTCCGTGTTGTCCTTTATACAATTCGTACTTTGGTCAAGTAGATTTTAGGCAGGAGGCCGCCTCTGTGTACCTCTGCTGTATGTTAGCAGCCTTGGGTGGTTGAGTCCTCTCTACCTGCTAAAGACACAAGTTATGTTATGGTCATATTAACTCTACAGCAATCTCAGCATCTCACCATCGGTGAAATGTTGGTTGTATCTGAATAAATTTCTAATATGTAGTCAAATGGGGAAGAACCGAATAAAGACTAAGGATGTTGTGGTGGTGTGGGGGAGAGACAACTGTCTGAACTTGGGGTACCACAACTGGCATTGTCCCCTCACTTACTTGGGGGACGGGGTGATTGTGGAGGTAGTGTGAAAGACAAGTGGATAAAGTCTTCTGTAACCATGAGTGTTCGCCCTTCCCTGTTGTGCCTGCTGGGATCATCATCTCTGAATGCACACTTGATTCTGTTCCATTGACCTTAGTGGTCTGTTAGTCTGATCCTGTAGTCTTTCTGCTTAAGTTGCACACATGCCTCTTAGGTAATATGCATGGCTAGCACCACAAAGCTCAGGAATGTCTCAGGTTCTGCAGAGAAACAGAGGAAACATGAATGAGAACTGTCATTTGAAAACCAGGTCAGACTCCAAGGTGAAGCCAGCAGGTCAGAGGCGAGGAAGTATGAGACACAGCGGCACTGCAGAGGCGATCTATCAGGTGGAGTTGAGGGGGAAAAACCCTCAGCAGCAAAGCAGATCTTTTCGGAAAGAGGGGCAGGCCTGGGCCAAGACCACTGCTGCTTTCTTTTTGGTAGTTCTTACCAATGAATAAGACGGCTCTTTAAAATCCTAGAATGGGGATGGTGCATTTATGGTCTTGACAGTCTCTTGGCAGGCCCTTACGCTGATGCATGCACAGTCCATGCTGCCATCCCAGCCCTGGAAGCAAAGCAGCAATTGCAACAGGGGGTACTGCCTTTGCATGTGTGTTTTTTTTCAAAGTGGTTTTCTCTTAAGTCTCCTCTGTGTGTGAGGAACTCCTTTCACTCTGGTTCATGGTCTTCATCTTCTGTACCTGTTTTGGAGATGACATCTCTCCTACCAATGTCCTGAGAAGTCATGAAGTCACTATCTGAGTGCTTTCTGCATTGGTGATGCCTAAAAGAGAGGGGAAAAAGATGCTGTTACTGTGACAAACACATGCAAAGTAAGTTCTAATTACTGCCTCACAAAGTCAAATATTTGTTGCAAGCAGAGAACTAATTGCGGGGGGAGGGAGCGGAAGTCGAGGCTCTTGGAGTGTAAGTGGAACAGATGCCTGGACGCCTTGGGGAAACACAGCTTTCCTCTACAAATCAGAGCTTTAAATTACAAGGCTTTTACCAACGAGAACAGTTGTGGGAAGTCGTCTGCTCTCATTTGCGTAATGGCTTCTGTCACTGGTGATTAGACACAGGATGAAGGAAAAGAAATTTGACAATTAGGAATGAGCGATCATTAATCAGAATCTTTGTTAGAAGCAGGGAAGCGGGGAGGGGGGAGAATATCCCACAGACAATGGAGGCAGCCACTAGAGCCACAGTGAAGTCCATGAGATGCGTAACTCCGGGTGCTGCTGTTGCTCTAGAGAGCCCCCTCTGCCTAGGTACGGAGCAGCAGCAAGGGTCTTGGCTGGGTTGGAAAGCTTGTGGAGGAAGGCAGGTAGGCAAAATACATCCCATGCTGTTCAGTGATTCTCAGCTATCTGCCCCATCAACACTTTGAGTTTCCTTCTCAGTGGCTGGCCACAAACTGCCAGCAAAAACTACAGAAACAACTTCTTAAATTGGTGTGGTCTCCTTCTCACACCTTGCATACAGCCTTGCAGTTTCTGGTGCAGAGGAGAGCAGTCATGGGCCTTGACTTGGCATGCAGAAAGACTAGGATGAGCAACGCAAAAGTAGTTCTAGAATTTCCTACAAGAGCAAGGAGGCTTCTGATGGGCTGCATGACAGGTAAAGAAAAGAAGGCAGTTGTGACTTCTGTGTCTGTCATTTGCTGGCTTGGCTCCTCATCCAGCCATGTACAATCCAGTATATGCATTTATTCAGGTTTTGTGGGTTTTGATCCCAAATTTGTTATCTGTTTTTCCTACAGCTGTCATTCAGCGTCTTGACAGATTAAACATTTTGGTATTGTTTACATGAACAGGCACTGCCTCTGATAAGATCAACAGCTATAGCTTGGGAGGGAGGATGACAGACTATTTGTGGGGTATGTAATGCTGGTTGGTTCATCTCAAGACTTAAGCTTACTGGATTCATTGATTTCAGTGCCAATTCCTGTCTTTCTAAGGCTGGGTCATTCATTTGAGGCGGAGGTCTCTGTCAGGGTGATTATTCTTTCTGTGACTGGAAATCAAAGCACATATCTCCAAAGGGGAGAGCTAAAGCCATGTTGACTTGTTCCCAGATGGCTCTGACCTCAGACAAATAGCAGCTTGGATTTTCAGCATTTTCCCATGGCTAGTGTTGTTCACCACAGGAACTCAAAATGAAAGAGAGAACAGTCATCTCAGGAGAGTATCTAACAGGGCTTTTCATCTAGCGCTTATCATGAGAGAAGTTAGGAGAATCATTGGTCACATTGCTTGGGGTGGGCAGATGTGTCAGGTAGAATTTTTGCCCTCTGAAACACGAGGGGACGGATGCTCCTCATTCACAGCAACATTTTAAACACATTTACATTTGGAGGAGTGCAGCTCATGTGCTTTGTGGACAGTAAAGCAACTGGTGGTGGTGTGGGGTCAATGTCAGAATT